TTTAAAAACCTGACAGACGCCGTGATGCGCTGGAAACATAATGTATGATGCAAGCTGCGCCCACAACAAGACCCCTCACAAAACAGAAGCCTCGCCAGCGCTCCCATGTTAAAGAGCCCAGCAACTTACTAGTTCAGTAACCGCGCTGGCCTTCTAAACAATCACTTCAGAGGATTTTCACAGCCCAGCTGCTATATTCTTGGTGATTCATAGAAACGTTGGGTAGCTGGATTGGCTGCCTCAGCTGCGCAGACTAGTCTTTCTACACAGTGAGATAGTAACGGCCAGCTCTACTGGTATAAACGTAACGAAGCTGTGTGAGGAAATCTGCACTTTGTGCTCAAGCATTCGTGTTAATGTTGCTGGTAAGGCTTTGTAACAGTAATCCCGAGACACTTTTTAGTGAGGAGATGTCTAAGTTTATGAGTTAATTCCTTCAGCTAGCTCCGCCCACTAAAAGGTAATTTTGCACGCTTTTGCTTGAAAGTCTTTCCTCATATACAACGGGCTGGCTTCCCTGAATGCAATTTTAAAGCCTCAAGGAAATAGACTGCTGATGGTAGCACCTGAAAAGTATACACTAACCTGGACGCATTGGTCAGATGGAGCACGCGCAGGACCCGGGAACGTGAGCTTACATGATTCCGATGCATGAGATGCGTCCGCATGGAGGCGCCCAGATACCTGTACGGAAAAGGGGACCTGGCCCCAAGTTTGTGCTTCTACAGCCCGCTGGTGTGGCCGGCCATTACCCTCATTTACGGGGTTATTCACATGCATTTGTTGAGCTATATCGATGCTTGACGTCCTGCCTATGGGCACTAGTGTGGATCAACGCTAAATATCGTCGCCAGAGGGCCTTCTCTGCAGCTGCCGTTCTCCCGCATTATGATATTTGCAGAATAATTGGCTTCCTCCAAAAAAAATAAGAGGCGGTGGCACTTTGTAAATATTTCCAGTCGATAGTGACTTTGCGACCCAAAAGATTCGTTTAAACTCAACTCACTTGCGTTTGGCCTGGACGTCTGCTGTTTTGAAAAACCTTCTCGTAATGATGTGCGTGGTACTGCAGGCAAGAATAAGGATGCATAAGTAGGACAAATATGAGGTCGGCCGAAAATGGGGCATAAACATATTCTCTTTTGACCGTGGAAGACACTGAGGCTTTCATAACGAACAACTGACGCACTCGCAACCCCATGCAATAAAAGGTCACAAGCGTTGTCCGTGATGCTGACCTGCAAAATTATGTCTTCAAACGCCTCGCGGTCGATCTCGCCGTCTTGGTCCACATCATAGTTCCTAAAAACTAAAGAGCAAGTGGGAAACCAAATGAAAGCTGTCTCAGAAGAAATATACATCAGGGAAAAGTTGGACAGATTCGTGCATCTCTTGAATTTTTGACCTGAGCTCTACGGCTGTAGATCTTTTCATCAGATAACGCAAAAGCAAGCGTACCTGCGGAGTACCACTCACGGTCAGGTAGAGGTACGACTGGCTGAAGCCTCTTGAACACAAATTCTAAGCCCTGTAAGTATCATATGTGTTTGCAGACACGCAAGAACTGGATCGCATGAACAAATAGTTGAACATGTTGCCCCAGGGGCGGCCAAGCATGGCTGCAACAATTGCACTGTAAACTATCATGCAAAGAAGGAATTAGACGTTTTGCATGTATTATGCAGGCAAGCTAAACAAAATCGTACACGAGCTAGGTTTCTTGTATACGGTGTTGAACTTCTTGAAGTGACTTCGCCTCGCACAGTTGCACAAATTTAAAAAGGAATAACAAAGGAGGGCGAAAATTCTCAAAGACACTTCATAATGCATGTTGTGCCCAGCGCTGCCTTGATACTTACAGTGCCAGCTTGCATGAGGTTAACTCGGTTTTTCCCGTGGCTGATACTGGTGAAGCCTTCACCAATGAGCCGGCGAAGCATTTGGTCATTGTTCTCACTAAAAGGATCTACAATACGTGCCTTGTCTTTGCCGGAAGAACACATGTTAGATAGGGTAGGCACTGTGTTGCAGTACTATCCAGGAAGCGACGCCGCGAGAAAAACCGGGAGTTGCGCTGCGCGTCACTCCTCTGGGGTCATTCCTCCATAAAAAGCAAAAGAATTGAAGCCCTGAGAGCTTCTTATGTACCTGGTGGGGCTCCCAGGCAGAGACGAACTGCTGTTGACAGTGCAGTGCACAATACCCTGTTAGCGGTGGACTCAGGCGTCCGCAGTAAGCGCAAGATGCAGGCGTAAGGTAACTTGTGGGCATCAAGGGATGTATTGCTGCATCAAGAGTTTATCTAAATGGCAAGATCAGAGAACCGATCACTGGTTCGGCAGCTGCTCCATGAATTCCAGAATTAAGGGAAAAAACAATGAGACCGGTAGGGCGTACATCCCAGCACTTTGTGCAGAAAAAACTCAGAAAAAATATTTCCAATTATTTCATAAATAATTCCAATGAACTAAAGCTCGCTGCCAAAGTGAGGCCAAAACGTCCGCGCAAAAGCTCGGTTGCAAACCTGTTGCTGTACAGCAGTTGTCCTCAGGGGTTGTTGACAGCACCAGGCATGTACCCAGAACCTCACCAAGGTATAAGTCAGCAATGTTTTGCTAGCGGGAACAGTTTCTTGAACAACCCATTCGCAAACAACACGACTGCCATTTCCGGCGGAAGAAGTGACCCCACGACCATGGTACGACCATGGTGGTGAGGTCAGGAATGGAGTTGGAAGCCTCAGCGCATTCTACTATATTAGAAATTATACTTCGTTTACAGTTTCAAAAAGTTCTATAGAGCTACGCAGAAGCAACAACCCAACTGTCAAATCTCCACACTTCAACGAACCTGCCAACCCCAAACCAGCTGTTATTCAGTGAATATTGGAGACGTTTCATTCCACTGGAAAAGAAGAACAGCATGACCTTCACTTTTCAATTTTCATTATGTGGGTCATTTTCACCATTAGGCACTTGAAAAATCTCCGCCTGTTGCCAGCAAGACCAGAAGAACTCGGGTGGGCTGCTGCTGCATTGCTCGTTGTCGTGTAAATGCAGAAAGAGTCTCAGCTGCAGAATTAGCAGCTGAAGAGTCTTAGTTGCGCGTCTTGCACGATTAAATAGACTTCGACCGCAACTGAGACTGCAGATCACACTCAACTTGAATTATTTGTTCAGTGCCTGACTGCGGGAACCCATGAAGTTAATACACTGAGCGGAGCAACTGTGTAATCACGGCTTCTGCAGACTGACTCCATTCTATATTTGTCTAGGATTTACGTGTCATGGTCCAGAAAGCCAGACGCCTTACATCCCTGCTGCGTGCATGGGCTAACTTTGCCACCTGACCAATTCAGGGTTCTTTAAAGCGGGCTACCATGAAATGACTCAGCTCATTAGGAAACGCCTGAATACACCTGGACTAGCTTGCCATACTCAATTTAAAAATTACCTTTTGGCCTTACATCCAACCCGGCAATGGACAATATTTTAGTTATGGGTTGCTGGCGTCACGGGGAAGAAACGGGTGTCACCTATTCGCTACACTGTTCAAATGCCACTCAATAAATGAGCGTGACCAGGTTCCGCATCTACGAAAGTGCCTTTTCACGTTGAAGTCTGATTTTTGGTAAATAGGCACCCGTCAAGTTTGCGTTTGATGCACTTCCGGTGAAGTATTTGCAGTGCATCTGTCCAACAACAGAACAAAGGTATTTCCGAGCGAAGCTGCTACCATGATGCAGATCCGCTAGCCAAAGGCTGCGGCGAACGTAGCGCGCTTTGTGCGGAAGCAGTGCTTGATTTCTGCTGTTGCGGACACTTCCCCTACGGCATACGCCAGAAAGAAAGGACTCACCTCCGAAAAGAACCGTGATAATGCCTGGAGGAAATGGAAGGAGAACCCTAAGAAAACAGAGTCCCATGCAACTTCGGGCATTTCAAGGAACTACGTAATTGCTGCAGTTCTACTTAGGGGCTAGGTGAAACCGTAGAGCATGTTCACTGAAAGCTTGCCACTGTTTAAGTGTTGTGTTCTCTGCAGCAACTATGATCCTCATTCAAAAACACTCATACTAATTCGTACAGATCAGCAGACGCAGTAGCAGAAATGGCTTTAGCAATAGCAGGAAAGGCTGCTTTATCGCCCGGTCAGCTGCCTTGAAATGCGCGGTCGCGTGGTCAAGCACACCACAGTGTAGCCCGCCTAGCTTGCTAGTTGTCTAATTGGCCCCGCATCAGGTCACAAAATTGACACACAAAGTGAGGCGTCTCAGGCAAAGACAAACTGATCCCTGCATGTGAAGCAGCTGCTGCAGCGGCTGCCTCAGCAGAAAAAAGTTGCGCAGCACGTGAAGCGCAATTGAAGGGATTGATAGTTTTGAGATGACGAAATACACGAAAAACGACTGCGACCGCGACAACCAATGCTTCACCAATCTGAGAACCGAAAACTCCACGTCATAACTCCGGATAAAAGCTCCATGCATATAGGGGTCCGTACGACCCTGCTAAATCATCTGGTAGTCCTGAAAGAGCAGTTTTGGTGCGCTGATGGCATCCCTGAGATCTCCTGATCCCCTGCGCGGGATAATGGCACGCCGTGAGGGGATGCTGTAAGTTTGCACCTGACCCCGAAGTTTGCTTCTGTGTACGTCGCCCGGAACCGGCTCAACCGGAGGGGACGGATGACGGAGCACTAATGACACGAGTGGCACGGAACAAAAAAAAGCAATCATGGTCTCGAGAGAGAACAAATATCTAGTGGCTACACCTGGGGCCGAAAAAAAAAAGCGACAAGTGGAAAAGAGCACGAGAAGTGTCTGTGGAGATATGAACCACGAGGCCCAAGAGGCATGAGGATCTGAGGGAATGAGAAAATGAGTTGTCTGTGCATTTCGAGCTCTTATTTCTAAAAGTATGGCTCCGTTGACATCAGGCCTTGATGCCCTGTTTGTTGTCTCCGTCTTCCAGTTTGTGGCCTTTGTTCCACTGCTCCAACTATGGGGAACCCCTATTCGACACCCTCTCCTCCTCGTCCTTCTGAAGCAATTGCAGCTGCCGAAGTCGCTCCTGCCGCCGCTGTATTGTCACGCGTTCCGACTGTGGAGGCCTCTGTTCCTGTGCCTGCTGCTGCTGCTGTTCAAGAAGCACGAACAAACTGTCCGCAGTTCGCTTCGGGGAGATACATCCACTGCTATTGCCGCTAGAACTGCTACTCTTGCTGCTGAGTGTCCTGTTGCTGCTGCTGCACCCTGGGTCACGTGAAGTAAGGCATGGGGAGGCTAGTAGGACGGGGGACGATTCCAGCGAGGCAACAGTAACCCATTCGCCATTGCTGCTTTCTCGCGAGTCGATTCCGTCGGAGCCTGGAGCATTTGCTGTTGCAGAGACTTGTGTTGCTGTCACTGTTGTTACTACTACAACGTTTTTGTCCCGTCTGTGCATTGCGGGGTGGCCTCTTGTGTTACTCTTAGTGCTGCTGGCCTTGCTGATGCTACGAGTGCGCGAACCAAGAACAGGCAGTCCGCCCTCTTCCTCACTTCCGCTAGACACACCGAGCAGCAAATCCGCTACGGACGCTGCTGACATTTCTGAGGCCGCTGATCCTACTGCTGGTGCTGATGGTGTCTTCACCAGCTCTTCAGCAGAAACAGCAGCAGTGACGCCGCTGCTGCCGCGTTTTTCATCGCTTTCGTCTTCATTGCAGGCAGTACTTCGTGCCTTTCGACCATCAGCGGCAGGAGAGGTCTGCATGTTTGCGCTCCCTTCCTGTCCTACCAATGACGACTTCCTCTCAGAAGCGACAGGGAGAAAGGCTGCGGAACTGGGGGGAGAAACGGTAGAAGCAGGGACAGTGAAGGACGAAGTTTGACGTGTCTCTCCTTCGTCATCGGACAAGCCCCAACTTATGTCGCTTTCGCTCTCTAGCTTCTGCAGCTGCCCCTGCTCCTGCCAAGGTGATAGCATTCCCGTGGTAGTTGTTGCAGCCGTCACTTCACGGCTAGATGTATTGTTTTCTCCTGCTGTGAGTGCTCCTGCTGCGGTTCTCTCAGCAGCTATTGCGACCCTTGCTGCTGAAAAAGCCCCTCCGGAGTCCCAATCCTCAACGTCAAAGCAGCTGGGTGACCCTCCTCCCGATTGCTGACCCGGCTGTTCCTGCTGCTCCTTTTTAGTCACGTGCCCGTCTACAGGCTTCACTCTTGACTGCAAGCCTCTCTGAACATCCGCGGTTGGCTCTGGAACAGCCATCTGCTCACCCTTCTCTTGCTCCTCCTGTTTCTGCTCAAGCTGCTGATGCCGGAGCTTGCGCCACTGAAACCCCTCTTGCCGGACTCGCTCAACCAGCTGGCGTGTTTCTCTTGCAGCTGCAGCACTAGCTGCTTCAGCTGCACAGTTCTCTGTATCAGCTGCGGCGCTGCCTGGCAAGCAGGCCTGAGTGGCCTCAACAGTGTCAAAAAAGGCAGCAATAAAGCAATCGTCAGGAAAGGCCGCAGCAAGCATTGGTCCTCCATCTAATTCCGACTTGGAAAATGAAATGCATCCAGGCATACTGACAGATGCAGTGTGGAAAGCTGCACGGGCCATAGGCACCTTGCGACCCCACAGAGAACTCCTGTGGCAGCTCGGATTGCTGCAGCACCAAAAATCTTGCTGCTGCTGCTGCTCTTGCTCGTGCTGCTCCGGGACGACATGGAGCAAGCGCAATAGAAGATCGCCGCATGCCTCGACACCATCAATATCGAACTTGAGGCTTCCTTCTTCGGGGTTGTAAACCGGCAGCTGGCGAGCTCGGCAACAGCAGATTCCCTGAGCCTCAAGCTCCTGATGCTGCTCCTGCTGCTGCGGCTTCTTAAGGCCGTTCGCAGGTGGCGAGCTGTCGGCAAGAGCAGGAGGACTGTATTGTTGCAGAGAAGAGTACACCAAAGACCCCTCAAGCCAAACTTCCAACACGGGCCGAAACAGTAACACTTGCGGCTGCTGATTCTCCGCCGTTACGTCGGCAGCAGCAGCAACAGAATCGTTCTGTCTGGGCCCTTCGCATGTGTCACTGAAAGCATGAAGTGCCTCCTCTATACCGGGAAGTCCGCATAAGATAACTCTTCGAAGTCTCCTTGGAACGAACTGCTGCGATTGCGGCTGATCCAGCAGTCTCAGAGATGTGGTAGGGCTACTGAGACCCATAAGCTCCTCAAAGAAGGCCAAGAATCTTCTCTGACTTGGCAAAAGCGGAAGAGCTCCGTGAGGTATACCCAGAGCGTCTTCGATCTGTGCTGCAGCAGCTGCTGTGTCCACACAAAGCCCTGCCCAAGGCAGAAAGGCTGCAGCAAGGCAAGCTGAACGCCCTAAACCCCTGAAGCACTGTAGCAGCAGCACATGCGCGCTATCGCTCTGAAGCCACCTGCCTGCGCTAACACAAAGGGAAAGACAGAGACGGAGAGGGGGATAAGGCAAGCCCTTGAACCCTGCGTCTATTACTGTGCCTGTCCGAAACTCCCCCACCGCTGCTGCTGCTGCTGCTGCTGCTGCTGTGTCCGTTTGTGGTCCTGAGGCGGAGCCCTCAGGCACCGGATACGCCAATGCTGCTTGCTGCTGATGCTGCTGCTGGCGGTGGTGCCGTGGACTTCCAACCTCGCTGCTAGTGGCTGTGGAGGCGCTGCGGGGAGTTGTGATATCCAGAGTAGTAGCAGCGGCAGCGGCAGTAGCAGCAGACGTTGGTGCTGCTGCCGCATGAAACTCTGCATTGGATGGAGCGGGGCAAGATTTTGCCATTGCATATCTCTTATCAGACATATTAATCAGTAAGTAACTGAAAGGATGAGATAAGTCCATGTATGAAGGGATGAGGGCGGAAAGGGCAGATGAGCTGTCACCCCTATCGCATAAATAAACCCTCGCATCTACTTCAAAAAGACCTGAGCAACGAAACAAACAACAGAAAATGTAAAGATGAAACGTTGAGTACAGGCAATGGAAAAAACCAGCAAACGAAGGCAGCGTTACTGCACCACCAAAGCGTACTCCAGGTGCAAATTTCTCTTGAAGAACTAAGCCAGCTACACCATAATTCACAGAAAGCGCCGCGATTCTTTCTGAGCCCTAAACACAAAGCCGTGATAGCTGACCGGAAGGCCTGAAGAGTTGCTGCGCCGACTGCCCGATTTTCTCCGCCACAGAATTTGCTGCTGATGCAGCGAGCGACATGACTAAGCTGCCTAGTGATGTAGCAGCAGGGATCCCTCCCACAGTTTCTGGCTCGGCCTCTGATTCGGAGCCGCTATCGCTTCTCGCAGCAGAGCCCGTGTTGCTGTTGCTGTTGGAGCTCAAGCTACTCGTATGCCCCGCATTCTCCTGCTGCCTCTGCTGTTGTTTCTGCTGCTGCTTTTGGGGGTGGCTGAGCGGTGTAGAGGAACCCCAACGCATCGCGGACAACCGCTGCTGCAGCTGTTGAAGTTGTTGGGCGAGAGAGCTCCCCGCAGCAGCGATGTCCTCTTCGCCGGACGCTGTTACTCCACCTGCGGGGGTCTCTTCATCTTCTTTTGGTATTGTTGCTGCTGCAACTTCTCCTGGGCATACTGCAGCAGCAGTTGCACCAGTAGCCACAGGTGCGACTGCTGCTGCGGGTTCTGCTGCCTGTACTTCATCTTCTTCTGCAATCACGCCAGCAGCTACCTCCTTTTTCAGCCGAACAAAAGTAGTTGCGCCCTTTGTTTGCTCACATTCTTCATACCCCTTCAGTTGCTCCTCCTTGCCAAGCATTGCGGAGAGTCCCGGAAAACACTGGACACGCCTGGTTCAGGGTTTGCGTTTTGTCGTCGAAGGTGACACAGCTCCAAAGAAACAGAAACACAAGAATACCCCCGGACAAAAGGCCGGAAACGAATGGAAGACAATATCCGGGGAAAGACAAGTCGCACAGGTGTTTCGCTTCTCTCACCCGCCAGAGCCTCCAGCAACACGAACTCCTTCACCGCTGTAGAAATTACAGTTTCGAGCGAAAAGTGGAGGCTTGGACTTAATGTCTAAAGTATATGTGGCACTTCACACAAGGACCGCTGTTTTTGGCGCAATGCAGTCAGCAACGCAAGTAGAGGCAGCTGGAAGCCTCCAGCAGACCGCGATCACATACTCGGGTTCCGCACACGCAAGCCCTACACTGTGAAAACCAAGCCTAGCAGATTCAAAAACGATGAACAGCTCATTACACCTTAGAAATGAGTGACATTAAATGCCTTTGTGCAAATAGATCTAACATTTGATGAAACAAGTTAGCAAGATCGGCCATCACCTGTGTCTTGCCATACTGTTTTCTTTTTCCCTTGCAAATTCATTGCTCCCGCCGTCTTATTCATGATTTACCGCTTGTTTATTTTATGTATTCCTATCTACTCTGCGCGTGAATTCTATTCTTCCATATTGTTCGTTGACACTCACCCAGCTGAGGCAATAACGGCTGAGAATTCATATTCGCGAATTGCATCTGTGAGCGTCTGATTGTGTATGCCCTCCTTCTTTGATTAGGTCATATTTTTTGCAAGTGTGCATTCGACTCTTTGCCAGAACCTGGACTCTCACGCGGAAGAGTGTTAGTCAATGCAGCAGTAGCAGCAGAGTGCTTGCTTAGTATGCAACGCCTGGTACTGCCGCCACCGCACAGAACGAATGAAATGGGGAAGAAGAAGACTTTTGAGCATGAGACAACGGTGAAGGACCCTGAACTGTGCCGACGCCTTAAATTGGAGCGTCTGAAGCATGTCCCAGACCCGTGCTTCTCCGGCCATACTTAATTTTCCTGAGTTTCACAATACTTAAGCACAAAAGAGTTTAAAGACTTCCTTCCGAAGGTCTACAGCACGTTTTTTCAGGAGTAGACGGAAGAGCAGGCCCTCCATAGATCTATTCGACTCTGTTTCGTTCTTTTTCACCTTCCCGTCTTGAATTGTGAGGAGTATTGTTCACAGTGCTATTCTCAACGTATATCTAGGACAGAACAAGAATGTGCTTTTCCCGCTGTTATTTCAAATCTGCATCCCTGCCATTACCATATGAAGATCTATAGTTGGATTTTGGCTTTCCTTTCGGGTGTCTTGGCAGCTCTGTAAACGGCATGCGCACCACAAGCTAATCTCATAATAAGTGGCAAAAGCAACCTCCAAAATGTATCTAAGCCGCTTCGTGTGTGTTTTCTGCATTTACCAAGACATATCTGTCCTTGGAAGGAATCTTTTTCATGGCGAAACAGGTCCCAACTATGGATTCGGTGAGGTGTTAAGGTGTCGCCTTGTGGAGAAACTTAAGTATTTTGGCCTCGCAGACCTGACAAAAGCAGATGTTGTTGTTGTGGACAGCGTCAGCAAGACAGTTGTGCCGAATAGTTCAAACCCTTACGGCCAAGTGATTTACATAAAGTGGGCGTGTACTGTTCCCGTTTGGCGTGTAATTTCCATGGCTGTTGTCACGGCGCAAACAGGAGAGGTGGGGGCTGGGTGATGAATATCGGCACAAATCCAATGACGACGTAAGATTAAGAATCGATTTTCAGTGCCTTCGCTTCATTTGCTAGCTCGTAACTTTTCAGAGTCATAAACGACGCAAAGGAGCTACCAGTGCGCATCTCGTATTCCGTAAGCACCGCCGGAGGGCTGGCAGTTCGTCTAGCTTCTTTTCGGCAATCTAGAGTTCAGTGACTGACTTCAACTAACTATTCAGACGGAGAAAAGCCCAGATGCGCGAGTTCTTCTTGAAGACAACACCGGCACGCTAGTCGAAGGTTCCACTGAGCCGCTTGACTACCGGCCTGCACGACCAGCAGACCCGATAGAACAACAGAGAATGTTCGTTTGTATCTTCATAAATATATTTGTCGTCTGCTTTTGATATCTAAAGCCAACCAAACAGGCAGAAGAAGATAATGCAACACACGGGTTTCCGCCCGGATGCTGCAGACTTCGTATTTGAGGTGACCCTCCTCTATACTCTTTTCCCCACAGACCTACCTATTCATTTCATCTGTAATAGAATGGGAAAGATCACCGAGTGGAACTCATGGAAAGCTTCAACCCAGAGGGGCTGCTAGTGGAAGTTCATCGCGCCATTGGCTTAGCAAATGTGAGGAGCTCCGAACAAAGCAAGACAAAAAGGGAATTTTGCAGCTTTTGTAGTTTTACTTATTTATAATCTATTCAAATTTACAGGTCGGGGCTGCCGCAGTGACGTTCCTGGCTAACCTCGCACAAGACGGGGTTGTGTTGTACGAGCTCTCCAGCTCGTTCGGCGGCTCTAAGCGGCTAATTGTCAGTGCACTTGCTCTTCACATCAGCCTCTCATTATGCTAAATTTGCATTTGCACGCACCGTGTCGATATATATGTAAAATACAGGTATACAATGCAGGTAAATAAGAACAGCTAGCGTTGCCCGTATTTGAATCCAGCAACTCAACTATTTCTACTGTAGGCACACTGCTGTCTGAAGCTCCAGTTATTTCCTTCAAGCAAAGGGAACTCATTTCAGCCCCTAAAATTGACTCTTCTGCTAGGAAGACAGCTTCGGATGCCGCTGGAGGAGCTGCTGCTCCACAGATGGCTGCCTCGAGCACTGGAAATTCAGGAAAAGGGTCCGACGCAGAGCACATCCAGGCTCCAGTGCCCCTCGCGAAAAATCAGCCTCAGTTAAGAAGCATTGTCAAGCATGAAGAAGATTTAGGGGAAGGGAGGGAGGCAAAAGAAGCGCTACAGGGCATTGTTGCAGCAGTTATCATAGCGGCTCGGCTACCTCCAAACCGGGACTATTCCTACATTCGAGAACATAACGAATAACTTTCTTCCACAGTGAAATGAAAATGCATAATATTGATGGCCAATATTCACGTTACATTGATGATCGTGAGTGAGTCAGGTGGTTTCAAGCGCAAACACAGAGCAAACACTGAGCGCTTTGCGATGGCCCCCACAAGAATACAGTGTGGATCTCGGCCCATGATTTTATAACATTTCAGCATTTATTAATTAATCTTTTGCAAGCATATCCCTTGCAGGAGTTCTAGGCACAGTAGAATTTCCAGAGAATCCCACCGCGCCGAAGACCAGACCCTCAAGGGTGTACGGGACTTCTGGTGCCACTGTTATGTTCTTCCAGTGATCTCCTCAGCGCCGTTATTCTTTTTTGTTCATTAATAATTAGGTGTGATTAAGATGAAGGCCAAACGAGAACGGCCCCAATAAACTTCAGTCCGGCGTGGGGGTCAAGCATCGCCGCTGCATGTTCGTCCTCATAGCTCCATAGACGTCCCTGATATCGCTTTTCCGGGGAGCCCAGCAGCCAGTTCAAATGCTCAGAACTCAGCAGCCCGCTGCTGCTCTCCGGCCAACACGGGCCTACAAAGCACCCTCCGCTGTAGAGAGACTAGCGGGTCCAGGCTGCTATGTTTACAGCGGAGGGTGCTTGCCAAAAAACGACGATCTCTTTTACTTCGCGACAAGATACGTTCATTCCTTTTCGAATCTGCACAGGGCTAGTCACACAACTAGCTGCCAAGGGAGCAGGTGCTGGCTGCACGCAGCAGCCCAAGCAACAGCGGCTGTATGTCCTGGCACTGGGGTAGTTTCTGTCGCGTCGCTGCTGCCTCAAGATGCGGCGCGGGCTGAGCAGCAGGCGCTGCTGTCTTTGCTGCATGAAATTGAGAAGTCAAACAGCAACACCGTGAAGGTGTCACTGAGAGTCTTTCATTTGCAGCAGCTTGCTGCCATACGTGGCGCCTCCTACTTGCGACTGCAGCAGCACCCCGCCGTGGTACAGCTCATTGAGGAGCTGACAGCCGCAGCAGCAGCAAAGCCTGGAGAGCTAGCAGAGTCAACAGGAGAGTTATCGCCACCGCAACTGCACGCGCTGGTTCGCTGCTGCTGCAAACTCCGGCTTCCCGGGACCCACCGTTTGTGGAAATGTTCTCTTAAGCAGATGCTGAGGTATACGAAGGCAAGTTTGTGCCGTGGATTCTTCACTTGAAATCTCCTAAGTTCCGAAGCCTGCCAAATTTACTGCCCTATCAGTGAACTGGCGGCGAAATGTTTGAGCTTTCAGCGGTTTGGCGTTGCTGGCATGTGCCTCGTGCTTCACTTTTTGCTGCCTCCAGTTTCTGCTGCTGTGGCCACTTCCTGTTGCTGTTGCAGAAGGGCAGTATGTCTGTGGCGGAGGCTTGCAGCAGCTTGAGATGCTTTGCCGCTGCATCTGCTGATGTTGACCGCATGCATTTAGCAGCATTAATGCAACACGTGCTGCGCGATGCTGGACAAGTTAACGAATACGATGCGGCTTGCGTCTTATATTCCATTCGCAAGTAAGCGATGCCCTAGGATTAGCAGACACTGATAGCTCTATTATGTGTACGAGGCACAGTGAAGTCTAAGGGCAGGCCTCAGGGTTTAGGGCTTGTGCATTGCAAAAGGTATCATTTTAATCCTCGAGCTGAGTTGGAGCAGCAGCTTGAAGTTGTTGAAGGGCGCGCGGCAGAAGATGGGGTGGCCAGCAGCCCAGTTGTCCGACCGGCAGCCGAAAGTCTTCGCCAAAAGCAAAAGAACAAGCCCCGCCGAGTTGACAGCAGCAAAAGTGACACCAGGACCATCAGCAGCAGCTTAAGTAAGCTCAGCCTGAAGATGGCTCGTGTCTGTGCCTGGGCTCTGGAGCGGCGGGCTACAACGGCCACTCCAAAGTCCCTCGTCTGCTGCTTGTACGAATACGGGTTGCTGCAGCTGCTGCCCTGGAGGCTATTGCTGCTGCTGCTGAAGCGGCTGCGGCAAAAGCAGCAGCTGCAGCAGCTCGAAGGCCAGGGGCTTGCTCTCTTAGCTTTGTCCCTCTCGCTGCTGAAGCAGCGAGACACAAAAATCATGAGGAGAATTGGGTGGGTGGTTCAGCAGCGGGAACAGGAGCAGCAGCAGCCTCAACAGCAGCGGGCGCTCCTGCAGGAGAATGTGCCCGCACTTTTGAAGAGGAGGGAAGGAGTGCGCAAGGAATATTCGCCTCAAAGTTTGTGTTTGCTGCTCCATGCGACAGCGAAGCTCAGCCTCAGGGAAACAGGCATCATTTGCGGAGTCTGCGACCGTATTGAGAGGTGATCAACACCAGCTTGCCAGAGGCGTTTGTTTTACTTTGTTTGGGAGTATCACCTGCCCAAATTCAGCTGGCCAGCTAGCACTACTGGCGTTGCCCTCCCTGAGTACCATCGTACCACACGATGAGGTGATGTGATGAGGTGCAGACGGGCATAGGAAGCTCAGGTGCGTGCGCTGCAGGGCAGGCAGCACCATGACAAACCAGCAACTCGTGATCTGCGCTGAGGCGCTGGGTCTTCTGGGGGTTAGGCATGAGGCAGCATGGCAAACAATCAACAGCCTCTTGGCGGTAAGTGGATTGCTGTTTTCTTTAGTGCTGACCTTGATCGGTTGCTGTTTGTTTCATTATCGATATCGGTTGCGCTTTTAGAATCTCTGGGGCCGCTGCTGCTGCTAATTTTGCCATTCAAAGGATGATCATGGGGAACTTTTCCAGGGTGGCTACTTTTGACCCGGCAAGCTTCAGCATCCATCTTCTTCGAGTGTTGGTGAACCGCTCCAAACACTGGGATGCACTGTTCCCCAACCGATGCATCTTGCTGCTCCGGATGGTGCCTGTGGCTATGCAGGAGAGGCACCGGAGCCTCTCTCCATGTGAAATTTCTCTGGGGTCACTGGGGGCGTCAAAAGCAGCAGCCGCCGACCCCGAGACCTTGACAGCCCTCCTCAGCCAAGCCTTATCCCTTCAGGTGATTTGGAGTCACGCTTAGTGGCTAGATATATGCTAGGTCTTGTAGTTGCCAATCGCAACGTGGTTGATGTGCTTTTAAAAACGACAAAAGTAGGGGGAGAATTGTGCAATGGAGAAAGGGGGCCCTTCCTTTGGTTTTTGGCTAGTGGCATGCAAGTTCGGAGTCCCCAGCTCTAGGTGTAATAGTGGGTGTTTTGAGCTGAGAATCGCCAGTTAAGGGTGTGGGGAGCCGCATGTGCAGCGCGGCTTCACTGGCCAACAGCTCGTCAATCTGCTGGACAGTATTGCCCTCTCTGGACAAGCCAAACAGGTACCGAGGTTGCGCCACTCATTTGATTTAGCGAGCTGCCTCACCGGCTAGCTAGCGAGTTACTTAGCTAGCTGAGCGTCTGTGCTACGGCGTTCGCGCTCAGCTCGCTACCTACCATCCATACCATGGCGTGGCTCAAGTTGCTATGTGGTTTGCAGCATGTAATTGCCTCTTTAAAGTTGCTTGAGGCGTACATACAATTAGGGGAGCAAAGCAGCGTTTGCAGGGCCACGCAACTGCGTCGCATTGCTTTCACATTTTTAATGGAGGTCAGGCGGCAATTCCAAGAAAACGTGGGAGCGTGATTCTTAGTTCTGGCCAAGCCAGAGCCAGTCAGTGCAAGAGCCTTAGTTTCTCATGTTTGTGAGCAGCGTATAGACCGCTTTTTAGTTTGAACACGGATTTGCTTGCCCCATTTTGGCTAGAGGGATTGGGACAAACTATCACGGGTTTGGGGGTCCAGGACGGCTGAAGAACTTCAGTGCCGCAGCAATATTGAAGGGTTATCTTGCTGCTGTGTTGCAGTTTTCAGAAGCTCTCTCTGCTGCTCCACAGTCGGTGCAGTTGTTTATTGAGGCGCATCAACAGCCGTTTCAAGCAGTAGAGCCTCAGGTGATGTTTAGTGCCGAACTGTGAACACTGTCATAGGAGCTCACCTAGCAGTTGGCGCTGCCACGTTTGTCCTAGACCTGCAGGCATTGGCCATAAGCATTTTAGGGTTTACAGCGTGGATTTCAGTCAGCTTTTGACTCTACAGGCATACCACAAAGCTCTGGCTCGAGCAGTCCACCGTTTAATCGGGTTTGAGGAAGAAGGGCCACGCAAAGTGGGACCATACATGGTGGACACACTCCTGAAAGCTGAGTAAGTGGATTACAAGATGCCTGATGCAAGAGCACTTTGGCTGATTATGACTATCTAGGATCTAGGCTGTGGCTTCGTGCATCAAAAAAATTGCAATTCTGGACCTAGCCTTGGGCAATGCTGCATTTGTTCTCCAAGTTCTACCTCAAGGCTCAGCACTACTTCTCAGATTAAGTGTGATGCAGAGCAAAATGTTACGAGAACCCTTGCGCGTAGGAATATACACGAACACTTGTTGCTGCTGCATCAGCAAAAGGACCTCGCTGGCAACACACGTAGGAGCAGCTGTGACAACAGCAAGCGGAGTGCCATATGCCTGGACTTGCTATCTGAGGGGTGCTATTGCCCTCTCTCCGGGAACCTATTGGGGGCCGCTCTCCTGAAGGCGAGGCAGCTGCAGCAGATGGGCTTCCTGTACTGCAGCGTCAGGCGACAACAGTGGCTGGACGCTGATGCCGCGAAGCAGCAGCGATTAGTGCTGCATGCACTTCAACAAGCAGTGAGCGCCGGGAAAGTTGCATCCGCTTAGCGCAGCATCCTGCTGCTGCAGCTGTTGCTGCCGTGGGTTTCCTGTTGGCCTCTTATTCTCAGCTGCAGGAACACCAGTTTCGTGCCGAAAGTAGGAGCCCTGTTAATTATGGGCACGCTTCATGGAAAGTGGTTTGTTTTTGGACTCCAGAATTCGGGCTGTAGGCTTCAAGGCTCGGTGGTGGCGAGTTCGCTGTAGTCATTCGGCTTCTTGAGGTGCAGCGTCCCCGAGTTGTCGAAAACCTAAGAGCATTAAGTGAGAGACGTGGAAGAGGAGCCAAGACAGGTGGAAAGCAATTGACACCAGATCAGCAGGCATAACAAAAAGGAAGATGATGTAACAGTACATGTGGGCCCATTATACAGTGTAGCTGTATGCTTATCGAAGCAGACGAAACATGAACAAAGAATCAGCTAGAATGTGTGCATGCAGAGGGTCCCGATAGTATTTAGTGGTAAATTGAGTAGCGTCAGTGACATTTTGACCCGCAACACAAGAACACACCTGAACATGCCTCACCTTAATTGGGTTTCCTATGGACCTGACTGGATCGTATTCGACATCCACGCGACTGAAGAGGTCATAAGATTTGGGGTAGTATCTCTTAATTTTTATACCGTTTTTCTGCCCAAACAAAACAAAACGACGCAAAGCTAACGGCAGAGAGCCTTACCTTATGGCGTTGTTTATCAAAACATTCCTCTTAGGGTTTCCGCCGAAATTCAAAATTTTCGCGGTCGCAGCATTCACGATCACCCATTGGCCGTAAGGATTCGTGGAGATGGGCAGGGTCACCACGCTGCCCTCTTCATTTATGGGTATGATGTCTGACAGGTGCTGTGATAATTCTCCCGCATTTCTTTTAGTCGGTCCATGTTACAATATGTTCATGTGTGTACTGTAAAGCTAGTGTGGTTGTGCGCATGTAGCAAGGATTTGTGTGGACGGCTACATTTGGTACCATAGACACAAGCATGACTACAGCGACACAGCGAGCAAAGTGAGCTTCTACATGACAGAACAGGTGGAAGAGAGCAAAGAGGAGCGCCGGCGAAAGCCGCAGTGCAACTGACCTGGTGTTCCTTCCGAGTACAATATCTGCCGCGCCTGAATCTCAGAGGTACAGGAATGCATTTACTCGCGAAGCAGAAATATACATGAAATATTCATGTCAACAGCACTGCAGCTTTTAGGAGGACACTAAGGCGCCCGCAGCCCTTTAGGGCCTGCAAAACACCACTGTGGCTTGTGTTTCGTCTCACAACTTACCCGCGGAGGCATTTTGTCGTAGGTGTTTACGTCGGGCGTTTCGCTTGTAAAGCCGACGTCAAACGCGTCATTCATGATTGCAAGAGAAAGAACGGAGAACAAAAAGCACATCAAGGTGAACATCGTGAGCTGCGGTGGTTAGTTGGCTGCTTCTGAAGTTGTGGACCTGTAGAGCCTAGTTGTTGAAAGGACAATCGGCAGTGGAAAGGGCATCAAGAAGCAACTTAAGAGTACTTGGCAGGTGGCCGGTAACCAAAAGGATAACTTTGCTTGAGATCGGTGCATGGAGAAAATGTATCACACACAAAAGTTTTGCTCTGCACGCAACTTCTGGTGTCTAGGCAGCTCACAGTACCAAACATTGAACAAGTCGACTTAACGACTGTCCCGGCCAATTCAGCTTTTCGTTGAGGCCTGGACATAAAATTAGGCTCTTATCACAAGGAAGGGCTCCTTGCTCTGTGTATGCGTACGAAGTAAATTTTACTTCATTCCCGCTTTTTATCTCAGTTGGTTGTATCGGGCGCACTTGGATGCTCGTACATCACTCTGAAATGGAAAACGTGGTAGAAGCAACCCTGTGACCACTCATAGCTGACAGCCTTGGCGACGTGTCGTTAGTGGAGATGCTGCTGATACTTAGGTAGAGAAGGTGCGGACGCTGGTGTGATCTCTGCGCTGCTGTGGACAAAGCATCGCCTGGGACGGAATCATTTAATGTTTGCCCCACAGGTTTGCGTATTTTAGGCATTCCTATGGCAAGACAAGCAACACCAACTTGAAATGTGTCCAATGCAACGAGTTAACAGGAATTCAGGGATAGACGGGTAGGCAAAGTTGGGGAAGATGTTGGTGTACATTGATTAATTCGACGTCTCTTTTGCCTCTACCACAGTATGGAAAAGACGGGAAAAAGTCCAGCGGTCTAGTTCTGTACCACGATGAGGTACAGGAGCAGCCAACTCAGAAACACAGGCTGTACTGCAACCCAGCGAGCACTTTCCACGCGCCTAACATACATTTACTGTACTGACGACCCATTGCTTGTTGAGACTAAGCTGAGAATGCACCAGGTGATGAAACATCAATTGAATTGTTTCTCCAGATGTGACTGTAACGTTAGTATCCACGCGGCCCTTTCCAGTTCCAGACCTACCTTTTATACTGGAGTGCAAAGAGTTCAAGTTCGATTGACACAATTATAACAATATGCAGGCAAACGTGACCTTCGCAGTTCAGGTGAGGTTCCGCAGGTCTCTCAGGAATGTAAAAGGAACAGCACTATTCCTTTTCCGTGAAGGAGAATGAGGACCAGATGCTTTCAGCAAATTGTTCGAGCAATACGAACAGCTTGGGCAAAACATCTGCCCCAGTCTCTCCATCACCTGGAAGCGAAGAAATGTCCTGTATTTGATTGACTATATACACGCCTCCCAGAATCAATATTAGAAAGCAGGCAAGACTGGTACGAGAGGAATTACTTTCCAAAAGTTTCTAGAGGCTAGGAAGTATCCCGGGGCTAAAATCTGTGTGCATGCCAAGACGTAGGTACACAGACACAAGATACTTCTTACTCCCTCTGCTATGACAGTAGAATGTTGTAACAACCTGACTCTTGGGGAGCCACACACCATCGGAATAACCGGTGGTTCGGAGAACAAAGGTGCTCCCGTAGAAGTCCTCAACAAGCCAACCATTTCCCCTTTAAAAAAGCACGTAATTCGCTGCAGAGTAAGCTAAAGAAGGAAGCTTCTCCGAACTACTCTGCATCCAGATTCAAAGTATTAACGCTGGCCTGTGGCGCGTCTAGGGCTACTAGTGCCCTGATTCCTCGATCTACAAGCAAATCTATGATATAAATTGCATAGAAAGCAGAAATAATAGCTCAAAGCGCTTGCTTCCCTGACGCTGACAACTCGGCAGTAGACTGTTCCGCATAGCGCCTTCCAGCTGAGCAATCGACACTGAAAATGCTCGAAAAAAGAGCACTCCTAGTCTCTTATTGTAGCGTTTTTCTGAGTTTTAAATAAGTTGTTTAGTCTCTGTACTCATGTGCTCTTATTTTTGTGACTCCTCTCAACTTTTCGTAATCGGTCGCTGCCTGCTTCACTGGTGCGAGCAGCAGCTAGCTGGCACGCGGCACCGCAGTGTCCTCATCTCTGTTCACGGCGACCAGCTGTTGCATCTGGAGAATTGTTGCTTCGAATCACACAGTTCATTTCACTACTTCCAAGTCCTTTTTTCCTTTGAGCGGCTCAGCCTTTCAGATCGCTTTGGGTATTCGTGTGGCGAGCCGAATACTGTCACAAAGTTGGTGTGCTTGTTCGCCGATTATGCACATCACTTTCTCCCTTGGCGTGGCTTTCTGAGTAAGCAGTTTTTATCTCTTGGGGTTTTATTTATTGCAAGACGACTGGAAGCTGCCTTCAGGACTTACCGTTCCCGGTAGCCACGTGCGAACGGTTTTTCATTTTTTCCATTGACTCACTTCCCAGTTTCACCCAATAGTTACCAGAGCAAGCGTCGAACGCGTGTTGACCAGGAAACTGTAGAAATTCACAGTTATTTCTTTCCGTGTCAATATATCTCTAAGCAATGGGGCGTATCCGGCGAGCAGCGGCGGTAGCAGGCTTGGGTATCACACTGTTGCCTCGGGATGGAACAGAGGCCTGGCTAGCACCAAACAGACGCCATGCTGAAGTCAGTGGAACCTTTGAGGCACCACCATCCATGGTGGAGACACAGTGGGGCTCGCCTTACACTTACATCCCCCAGGTGACTGTTAATGAGAAGGCGGCGGACTTCTTCTTCGCATCCGTTCTCGAGTCCGTAGCGGAGTTGCCAGCTGAGGGCCAAGGAGGCGTGGAGGCTGGGGAAGGCGCAGAGGCCGGGCAGGGCGGAGAAGCAGCGGGTCCCCAGCCCAAGGCCTGCGAGGCGCTGAACGCGGATGCCGACAGGAGCCACGTGTTCCAGACCATTCAGGGTATTGAGACAGAAGAGGCGTGCCAGAACTTCTGCGGGCAGACGAAGGGATGCGTAGCTGCAATTTTGGAGGGCGCAACCTGCAGCCTCATGAGGGCTTTGCGTGGGGTCAAAGAGGGTAGTGGCATTTTGGTGGTTCAAACCTGCGACAACTCTTGCTTCTCCCAAGGCAGGAAACTGAGCAGCGAAGGCAAGTCGCTCGGTACCGCCAATAATGCGAATATTTGCCAGGCCATGTGCCAGGGAGAGGATGGCTGCATTGGATTTTCTTGGAACCGAAGCAGCAAGGAGTGCACGTCACACCCGAGTGAAGTTGGATCCGCTGAGGATAAGGCCTCTGTGAGCGGGCCTAGAGACGGGTGCTCACTTAATGTCAGGCCTGTAGACCAGGCTGGCAAGTGCACATTACAAGTGGACCTCACAGGTGATGCCGGAAACCACATCGAAGCACCAAATGTGTCCACAATTGAGCAGTGCAGACGCGAGTGTCTGCTGGACAAGGATTGTAAGTGGTTCACCTTCAACGAGGTAACAAAGATCTGTTACCACAAGAAGAAAGTGGGAAACATTGCATATGGCTTAAAAGGTGACCATACTGCTTCCAGGCTGTGCGACGCTAGCTGCCTTCAGAAAGATGTGAAATTTGCCGGCAACGCCTACAAGACCCTCAACGTGAAGTACATGCAGCTCTGCATATACAATTGCTTCATCGACGGTAAGTGCCAGCGGTGGAGTTGGGATTCAAAGTCCACAGCTTGCAACCTGTTCGACGGCACCGGCGTTGCTGACAGCTCGGCTAATCAAGCCGGGGTTTGGAGCGGCCCCAAGGAAGGCTGCGCTGCTGATACACTGTACGGCCGGGAAGCACCGTCTTGCGCGGTACGCGGGTCGCGATACGGCACCATTCCGATTTCTACCCAGACGGTTGATAACGCGACGCTTTGCCAACAGCAATGCCAGAAGTCCTCTATGTGTGAGGCCTTCTCATACGATATTAAGGGGAAGGTGTGCTACTTGCACGTTGCGTATGCCGCGAAGTTGAAACGTGCTAATTACAACTTTATTTCAGGCCCAAGGCAATGTGCGGGTTGTTCAACGAACGGTAGTGAGTACAGTGGAAAGGCACTGCAGGAAATGGGAAGCGAAGTAGAGACAGCAGAGGAGTGCCAGCTGCTGTGCCAGGCGACAAGCGGCTGCGAAGTGTATTCCTTCCTGGGCTCTGCATGCAAACTCCTGGGCAGCGGAGAGAGCAAGAAGAACGTGCTGGCAACAAGTGGCGTGAAGTACTGCACTGGCGTTTGCGACATTTTGGGCTTCCGGGCTCCCCGCAGGGAATTCGGGTACGCATTGTTGCTCAAGGGCAAGAGCCTTGAGGATTGCAGAAAGGCTTGCTCAGCAGACCAGAAGTGCACCAACTTCACGAGCTGGCTAAATAAGGAGTGCTATATCAAGGATGACCAGGACCACCGGATGCAGGAACCAATACCGGAGGCTACATCCGGATGGGTTTCGTGCTCAACGTGCTTCCGTCAGGGCGTTGGATACAAAGCAACCGAGGCGAACTTGCTATGGACACTCCCAAGCGAAAACGCAGAGGAATGCAGACAGAGGTGCGAAGTGATGGAGAGCTGCGGGCGATTCAGCTACGACGCGGCGAGCAAAGCCTGCTCAATGCTCTCTGGTGAGGGCGAGGAAGTACAGGGCGAAAACCTCGTGTCAGGGCCCCCTCGGTGCACCCGTCGCGACACTTGCTACCAGAACGGGGTGTCATTCACAGGTGGCAAAGCGATTTCTGAGGCAAAGGCAGCTTCTTCTCAGGCGTGCCAGGAGCTCTGCGAGAAGGATGCCAAGTGCAGATTCTTCACCTTGGCTTCTGGGAAGTGCAGCCTGTTCGCAGACGACGCAGCCCTTCGGCCTACGAAGTCTGATGGAGCGGTTTCAGGAAACAAAAGGTGCATATTGCTGGAGGACATTTGCGAGGAATCCAACATTCAGTACAGCTCAGGCGACCTCGATTCTCCGCTGACAGCGAAAAACTCGCAAGAGTGCATGGCGCTTTGTTATAAGGACCCGCAGTGCCGCATCTGGACATACCTTGTGCCAGAGAAGCAGTGCCTTTTGAAGTCCATCACTGGATTTTCCAACCGTGCCAAAGCCACAAGCCAGAAGAAGTCAGGAGGGCGCCTGGGCTGCGCCAGATGCACGCGTGCAGCCATAGCGTTCGGAGGAAAGGAACTCCAGACAGTCAGCGGCCTTCCACACGAAACAGTATGTCAGTTTGCATGCGAACTGAACAAAAAATGCAAGTTCTTCACATTTGACCAGGTCAGCAAATCTTGCAAGCTCTTCGCTTCTGACAGTGAAAGATTGCCTGCAGAGAACACGGTTCTTTCCGGCCCAAGGCGTTGCTAAATTGATTTAGCCGGAACACCTCCAACATACAGCGCCATAACATGCCTCACATTAGCACGCCTTAAAACTGGCTTCAGGCATTGCCTGGCGCCTGCTGTGAAAAACACACGCGTGCATTTTTCACACAAACCAATTTTTCCGGCGGACGTAAACTTGCAGCGCTTGACTCGTCGTTGATGGACTGCACATTTCTTGTGAAGTTTTGTACAAACTGGACCTTTCGCAGTGGCTGAACGAAAATGAGTCTTCCTTCGAAAAGAGGTAGTCCTATAGCCAGAGTACGTAAGGAAAGGGAAAGGATAACCGCAGTCGAAAATGGGAGCTAGTGCACGGATGGTGTAACGGCTTTCCCAAAGTGTGCTACTGTAAGACTGGCCGAACGAAAATGAGTCCTCCTTCGAAAAGAGGTAGTCCTATAGCCAGAGTACGTAAGGAAGGGGAAAGGATAACCGCAGTCGAAAATAGGAGCTAGTACATAGATGGTGTAACGGCTTTCCCAAAGTGTGCTACTGTAAGACTTTTTAAAATAGAGAACCCCAGATTATTTAGAGTAGAAAATTCCTCGAATACGAGGAACCTTACGGCCCGGCTGTAAAACCCTGGGCAGCTTATCTGCTTTGAAAATTTAGTTGATTGTAACATTAATTACAAAGTAGTGCTATTACCATGAAAAAGGGTTCAAACATTCTTTTGGTCCAGATAAGCGGTCGTACGTATGGTTGAGAAGTCTTCATGACACCAGGCATGCAATGCAAATATGTGTTTGTCAAATATGCTTTTTTTCAAGGGCATTCACTTTCGAATGGAACTTTGTGCTCCATCCTTAGTCTCTTACCTTCACATGCGTTGTTGGGTGTCTGTCCGTTGGCTTGTTGTGAGGAAGTGTACGGAAATAACAAGTCATTGTATAGTTGAAACATGGGAAAATGTAAACACAAGAGATGTGGTCCTGGTTGCTTTTCCAGGGTCAGGTCTGCGGACGTAGATACGTTCCATTCCGTCAAATTGCCCCTTAAAAAGAGGTAAACACGCCAGTACCTTCAGAAGCAGTTCAATCGTGAACGGGTGATCGGTACATCCGCTTTCCAGAATGCCTGCGCATCAGAAGAAGAAAGTAAGTGCTGCAAAACAGACAGTTTCTGTGTATGTTATAGGAGACCCCTCAGCATTCACTACTGAAGTAACTTGAGCGCACTTTTTGAGAGCCTCAGCTGTAGTGCAGACGCTTCACTGGAATCTCGGGAGTTCATGAATTGACTCGAAGGTTGCAAGTGCCCTGTACAATGTACTATGTAAGTGCATGCTTAACGTTGTATGATTACAAATATTGGGAAGTATTCGAAAACTCTGGAAATGAATCAATATGCAAGCACTCGTCAAGCAAGTGTTTCTACAACGCTATGCTTTGTTCCAAGATGCATAAAAAACAGATGTGGAAACAATTGCGGTCAATGAATAGAACGCTGTAGTCCCAGGCTACACAGAAGTTACTGATTGACAATGGAAGCAGGCAAGCAGGCCTTCATCCTGTTTAAAATGAACATTTCAACTGAACAAGTTTCGCCAGGTAGGTTTCAGAGAAGGCACAAGTCGGGTCTGTAGGCATAATTTTATAACGTGTACTCAACGCTCCCATTTCTGCCACAGCCAACGCTCTATTGCCGAAGTGCTTGTTTATAAGGCCCTGAATCCTGAGAATAGAGGCACCCCTCAACAGTCGCCCGCATGATTGTATTGGCCCTCCTGCTTCCGTGGAATCGAAATGCTTTTGAGGCGAGTTCCACCACGAATGCAGAAATATACAATCACACTGGCTCGGTCATACATGTATGCGCACCATCAACGTCCAGCATCAAAATAAGGCTCTTTGCATGCCTTGTAGTGTCTGCTTGAACAGCGGCACCTGCTATACCACTGACTCAGCAGTAAACGTGGGATAATATTAAACGAGTGACAGACTGAAGGGAGGATAACTTGCCGATATATCTGGGCAAGGGACAGAGAAGTACAGTTTCACAGTTTGTCTACAGCTGTAAACAGTTGCGCCTCCGACGTCGAAGCCTGGATTCACGCGCTGCTCCAATTTTGGCAATCATTCACTAAATGAGCTGCTTACGTGCCTTTGCTTTGAAAATGCAGTTACTGGTATATTTTCGATTATTAAAATAAACAAATTGTTTAGTACTGATTGCGGCGATTGTTGCTCTTGCTAGGCGCTTAATCGATTTTGTCCCTGTCGTGAGGAGCTCCTCGGAAAAAAAACCCTCCCATTAACTCGTTATCATCCAAGACCCCCCGAGACTGATTGCAAACCAAAAGGGGTGCTGGAGGATGTGGCATTCATGGCTCCTGTGTTGCTGCTGATGCAGCTTCTGCTGCTGGCGGCAGAAGTAGCTGCAGCCGCCCATTCCATGACTGCATTATGCGACGCATCGAATACCTCAGATAAGTCTTCCTCAAGCTCCACCAACAGCCAGTCGTCGGAATCCAAATCAACATTTCCTGCAGAGAAGGCAGTATAGAGGTACGTGTTCTGTTCAAGTCTGTTGTCTGCTCTGCTAGTTTGTATTCCTACGATTCACCTCCCCTTCTGCTTACGCATGTCTCCCCTGCTCTGCTATAGCACTGTATCTGCTCCCCACACAGATGGGTGCAATTCCCATCCTTGTTTGGTTTGCATCCCTCACAGCTGTCTGCTTTCAAGTCAGCAATCTGCTGTCTGTCTTAGTCCTCAAGCAACGGAGCAGCTACAACGCGAAGCATACGAAAATCACAGATACACCCCAAACGCAACGACAAAAAAGCACATAAACTTGTAGAATTCCCCCGGAAACATACCTGGCGATCTCTCTTCCGGTGGATAAAGACGCGGCGTGTTGGACGGCCAGACCCTGAATTAGAGGTACACAACGGGATCCAAAAAGTCCACCTTAAGCAAAATTGTTTGCGCTACATACTTACCGGGGTTCATACACACCTTATAATGCCTTCGTCTTGCTCCCATCGCCATACAAAATTACAATTTATCACGTGAGTTACGGTTCATTCTACATACACGCTAAGTTCCATACAATCCTCAAAATACAGTGCCGAGTTTGCATTCCTAAGTGCTACCACACGACGAGCATTGTGTTATATGCTTGCATGGTGCATTACCCCTCCTACACCTAAACAGAAACTCATACTGCGCATAGACAAAGAGCAGAGAAAGTGTACACGATGTAAAAGGACCAAACGCTGAGAGAAATTGCATATCAGCAACAGCTCTTGACTGCTGTAGTTGAATGCCTATGCAATAAAGAAGGCAATATGTGACACTAGCACATTGCACGTACTCCACTCCACAGGCAGAACTAACGCACTTTCCGAAATCTGGAGAGTTTAAAGCCGCCATCATCATCCCCAAGAGGTCGCCTGCATTTCCAAACATCGCCACCTGAAAATCCTAGAGAAATGACCTCTACGGCGTAAGCGCCCTCCAAGCATCTTCGCTAGTTTACAGCTTGTACAACGGACTTCGTAGCAAAATACGGTTCGCAAAAAGGAACGAGAACCCAACCTACTTGAGAGCTTATTGCGTCTACACAGTGATTTATGTACGTCCATTGCCTTATTAGGCACATGCTAATGCTTTCACTTTCTACGGGCCAGTCGCATGATGACTTTACTAGGTTCTGACAAGTACACGGGCGCGTACATCGTATGTATACTACATATAAGTTGACAGCGTACCCGGAGGGTCTGAAGAAATGTCGACTCCTTGAAAGGTGCAAAATGCGAACACATTTGGCTTTAGCCCCTCAGCTACTTCAGTTAAATCCCCCAAAGAAAAAAATACGCATCTCCTGCACCAGATGAGGGAATCACAGCATCCATATGCGTAACTTTCATGCGCAGATTTACGGCACATTTCCGTCGTGTGTGGCTAGTGCACGTATCAAAGTATCTGGCTTGAGTGACGAATACGATGTCTCAACCACATTATGAACGCAATTAGATTAATGAATACGAAATTTCAGTCATAACAGAGAGGCAGCTGCAAAAATAGGTAAGTAACGAAGGGAGTGTAGCTGCGCTCATTCAAATGCATCCTCATCTGCACTTGCTTGAAGTGTTTCAAATGCGTCCCACTGTCTTTGTATCAAATTACTGGAGAAGTAAACAGAGTAGAGCACATGCTTGCCGTAATGTAGGCATTATGCGATACATATAATGCAGGCATCTATGTGTTCGATTACAAGGGGCCTGGAGGGCATGCGGGCACAGGGGCATGCACACATAGAAAGTCAACAGCGGGTATCAAGTTTACACCATGTGCAAATGTGAGAGCAGGCACACTCATACACGTATATACGTTAATTTGTAAGTAGGCGTTTAAGGCCACATTGCAGGCTACTGCTTGCTGCGATTAAAAGATAACAGCATACCTTGCTGCCGCATCAAGCAGCATTGGCGATGCCGGATGGTTGTTGTTGAGTAGTCGCAGCAACTGTTGGATCCCTTGCTGTTCCTGCGTGTCCGCTTCTTGCTCCCTGAGAACTAGTTTCTCTCTGTATTGATGCAATTGCTGAAGGCGGTGCATTCGTAGCAGCTGCTGCTGCTCTCGCCTCGACGCAGTCAACGCTAGAGAGCCAAATTTGCTGCACACACCGCCCGGTGCCTCCTCTTCTGTATTCTCCTCTATGCCAGCAGTACTACGACGAACTGCAACCCCGGGAAGAGCACCCAACGGCCTTTTTCTGCAGCAGTTTACACTGTAGTGCCTTGTCGATTCTCTCTGCCGCGGGTGGACCTTGCGCTGTTGTTTTTCCTGCAGCGGCAAGGAACAAATCTCGCCCTGGCGTTGCTCTGAGAGCACCTGTTGCGGAGCTTGAGCTACACTGCAGCGGGACTGGATGCTGCAGCTGTGTGAACTGCCTGCCATAGCTGATCCTGACACTGGGGCGGAGGCTGCTAGTGTTGTCGCAGACGCAACTGCTGCAGCCATCTGCTCAGCACTC